TGAAATGGCGATTGTTTTTGACAAACAGTGACCAAGTCATTGAACAAATAAATTATACATCAGCCCCATTGTGTGACCAGGGAAAGAAAGGGAGAGTGTGTTTGAACATTGTGCATCATGTGTAAAGTGTGTGTGTGTGTGTGTGTGTGTGTGTGTGTGTGTGTGTGTGTGTGTGTGTGTGTGTGTGTGTGTGTGTGTGTGTGTGTGTGTGTGTGTGTGTGTGTGTGTGTGTGTGTGTGTGTGTGTGTGTGTGTGTGTGTGTGTGTGTGTGTGTGTGTGTGTGTGTGTGTGTGTGTGTGTGTGTGGTTAGCGCTATCCTTTTGGCCTCCAGCGTCACCCAGTGCCACCATCTGTCCTGCCAGCCGGATCGGAAGGGTGTGTGTCTTTGCATATACAAGTGTGTGTGTGTGTGTGTGTGTGTATAGTAGACATTTTTTCAGGGGTACTGGTCAACCAATTTGTCATCAGTTAGTGTTTTATAGTTTATATTTTAATGGTTACGAATACAAAGAATACATTTTAGTGTTGAAAGAGTTCAGCCCACTGGATGTTTGACGTACTATATAACGTAATATAAAGTACAAAAAAACATGTCGGTCCCACTTTTATTTCCAGCATGGTAGCATGCACACACATGTGGTAATGTTATTTAGGAGGCAACTAAATATTAGTTTTTTGTCTTATCAATTGATAGTCTGAAAGCCCTTATAACCAAAGAAAGGCCTATCGATGCAGACCGGTTAGAGACCCAAGGTTGAACATTTTGCAGTCAATAAAATACTTCCTCGCATGACATCAATCATCAGTTCAGGACTCGAGGTAGTTATTGGAAAATATATGAAATTGGCAACTAAAACAAGGGGGGAGCCTTGTCTCTCTTTGGCAATTGATCCAGTTGAAATGGCAAGTAATTGTCTTTGATTATCTGATCGATCTTTTAAGATCATATTGAAGGTGAATTTGATTCTTGTTGGAAGATACTGGTCTAGATCTTGTTGATGAGTCTAATGCACATCTAAAATCCCATTATGTTCTTGGTAAATGTGAGGGATTGTATTATGGCATCGACATGTATGTGATATGTTGAAAGCATGATTAAACAAAACATATTATTTTAGAGGTGCAGATATAACTTGCCACTCATACAATATCTAAATCTGTGCGTAAATGTAGAAAATATGAAGAGGTTAAATGCGTACACTGCCACTATATCAGACTTCACCGTTGTTCAGTACAATGTATGGAAGTTAACATCTGGCATGTGAAAGAATATAATTTAATTGTGTGAATGTTTAATCGCACATAAAACATAAATCTATCACCGTTGTATTTCTTAAGTCATAACTGCTTTAAATAAAACAAATACAGGACTAACCATTCTGAATACTAACCCGTGGTTAAATGCCATGTGACCTTTCAAATCGAAATGAATACATTATTTATTTAAGTTGTCTTGCTCATGAGTCACAATGTGATACAGCTGAATAGGCACATCACGTTCTTATGTTTGGAGTGAACAGTTTGAACTATTATTCAGTTTTGTTCGTGGCATTTGATGCTATGCATTGCTGACCATTTGACTGTGACAAAGTTGGCAGTAAAGAAGTAAACAGGAAGTGGGACACATCATCGCAATGTTTTCTCCAATCATTCAAACATGCTCACTGGTTAGAGTTTGCTTTGCCTCTTAAATTGTTGCCTGATTAAGCAACAGTATTATTGTTTTCATACAAAAGCACCCAGTGTGCAGAGAAAGGTTATAGAGGCATCAGCATTGATAACACATTTCGGTAGCCCATTGTTCATTCTATATGTAAGTTGACTGTCAAGAAGAGTATTCATAGATGAATATACTGCCCACTCGATCTCCCTCTCACATCCCTATACAGTAAAACCTCTGTCTCTCTGATCACTGTTGCAATGTTCATTCATTTAGGGGCTGAATGCCAAATGCATTTGTGTGCCAAATACGTCACATCAAGTCAACATGGCTGTACTTTTCATTTTTAAAGGCTGCTCTTAATGCGACAGACGAATACATCCTCATCCATAGCACAGATTCTGCTTGACTGCTGATTCCACTATGCGTTTTCTAATCCCGCCCTGTTCATTATTCACCATGCCTGAATGACTAACTAGGATATTCCCTCTATTCTTCGGTCTTATCTTTCTAAGAGTCTTCATTTGTATATAAGATCATCCGCTACCAGTGTATTGAAAATTAAAAGTAAAAAAAAATAAAACTCTTCTCACCTTCAGATGACTTTAGAATACATATTTTTGTAGACTCAGGGATTCACTGTTATTTTATTCTTTTAAATATTATGTTCTTCTGTCATAAAAAAATACCGAAAGAATATTTATGGCGTAAAAAAACCCATTGGCAACATAAAAAGGCTAAATACACAGCATAACCTACAGTCGCAAGTATGCTGATGCCGAACCAATATGACTCAAGGTGCATCCTTACATTCTGTTAACTGGGATATTATTTGCCATGGTTGTTTTGTCCATCCATTTTTTTTTGTTCTTGTTTTCAATGTTCTTACCAGAAATATTTACCATCCAACTTTTACTACAATAAGCTAAGTAAGTACCCACCTACTCATAGCAGCCCTCAACGATTCAAAAGCTTTAAGCCTAGATATCATTTTAACATGCTATATAAATGATCTGCCCACACAGTTGTCATGAACAGGCACATTTGCAATATAGACCAAAACAGTTTATTTCTGATGTAAAATTGGACTCATTTACATGGATTTATGTAGATTACTCGTTTTTTAAGCCAGCTTCGAGTGGCCATTGAGGATCTTCAGCAATGTTCAATACCACCTTGGCTTCAGTGCCTGGAGTTTGCTGCATGTTTCTGACACTCTCTCTTGTATCAGTTATATAGTGAAACATTTGTTGAAATGGAAAGGAGTGAGGCCAGAATGATATGACAGAATTTAATTGGTAATTATTAACATTTTCAAACTGATTAAAACATATTCCTCTGTTGCCAATCAATTGGTTTGGTTTGTCTTAATGTTACTCGTTTGTTCCAAAGATGCTTTAATCAGCCTGGTCTGTAGCTTCAAGAAAAGGGTCTTTACCACACTTAAGAACTCATGATTAAATCGTGATGTGACACAACATTTAAATTGTTTCCTTCTTTTTATGTTAAATGAAACCCTCTCTCGATCCCCAGAACAATTCATTTTATAGTCTATTGACATTATAACCAGCCTTCTTCTTACTAATTACTTTCACAAGGCACCATCAAAGATTAGCACTGTTATGTTGTTTATTACGGGGATTAAAAAAGTGTTGCAATGTAGGACAGTCGGTGGTGTCTGGCATTATGGTTTGCATTAATTATAGTAACGTTTTCCCATGACAATGTTGTGATGCAGAAGTCTACAGTTTTTTTCGTGTTAAATATTTTAGATTTTCATCATAATTGTACCCACTGAAAAAAAAAAAACAATCTCCCCAGTCGCCATTCATATGAAGGGTCGTATGAACTGCTCTCATAAAATCTTCCACCAGTGATAATACTTGATACATGACTGCCTCCCTCTGGTATAGAAGCAGAAGCAAAACAAATATCAGACCATTTGTTCACAGTGTGCTGTTGAAAAACTGTGTTAGTAAGGATCATTTTATTCTTTAATACAAAATTAATTTTAGGCAAAGTTTCATGTTTGTTATATAGGCTTAAACGGTTCTCTCTGAAATGCCTTATATTTTGATAACTCACTAAAATACTGAGAGCCAAAGTAGATAAAAATGTTCTGCCCATGTTCATGAACTCCAATGCTTACCTGCCTGACTGCCTGAAGACTCTTTCGCTCTAAAATAGTACAGAGGTCTTGAAATAAAAAATACTTTTCCCTTAGCAAGGTCAGGTTTGTCTTTTGGCGTACATGCCATCACACACTCTGAATGCCATAAAAGCATGGATTCATAAAAAGAACAGGGATAGAAACTATTCTTCGCAGACAGACACACACATGAGGTTCACACACGTGTTACCTTTACTGTAATCATTCATGCAAACCGCTGTGACTGAGCAATGCACCGCACCTTATAGTTTAGTGGTGTGTCAGGATCTGTAAAACATTACAGTGTGCAAGCAGACACATTTATTTGCCAGACAGCTAGTCTGCATTTACTGCTTGTTATTCTTGTTGTTTTAAGATGTACCGTATGTGCAAAACCCAAAACTGGCACATTTTATATTTACATTGATTTTTATTCAATGGTTATATAAGAAAAACAACAACTCTTAAAAGATGCGTGTGGCAGTGTTACAATGTAGTCAATGCAGTCTTCATATAATGTAGATACAAAGAGTGGGGAAACCAGATTTTATGATGTGCCCAATCTGGAGTTCAATCATTTATTTTTCTCATTTGGCAAATGTTATTCTGACATTTGTATATAAACTGATTATTTTCCTTATCATAAATATTTTTTTTGTTTATTAATTACAGTTTTGCCACTGAAATTACTTTATGTAAATGAAATGAAGGGGAGAACATTTTCACTTTACTGAGCAGTGATAATTCTATCTAGAGTATAATTGTCGGCACTTGAATATTTTTGTAGTCTGTTTTCTTTCCTTCTTTCCCTTGACAACATTGAACTTAAAAAGGCAAGCCAGTTGGACTTTCCCTTCCCTAAAACACATTTTCTTTCCCATGGTAAAAATCTTGCTTTACTCTCACAGGTTTCTGAAAATCAGTCGTGTATTAGTGGAGTGTTATTGAAACTCTCAGAAACCAAACACAAGCAGAGCCATACAGTGGGAAAAATAGTTTCATGATTAATATGTGTCTGTTCTCGCAGCTGTAGAGAAGTCGGTGTTGATCAATGTAAGCCTTCATTCCTCAGATCACTATTGGCAGAGAATAATAGAGAAGAGCAAGGCTGTCAGTTTGCAGTAAATCTTTATTCATATCACAGGCACTCTGTGCCCTCAAATTTCTTTATATAAAATAGGAAACCTTTTATTACATTCATCATTCAGAATGTCCAGCATTTCCTTGTTAAAACTCTTGAGATGTGTTCATCTTAAAACTACATTAAAAAAGGTATCAAAATGCAAATATAAGAAGCTGTTTGAGAAAAATAAAAGACCTGCTTGAGATGATACAAAAATACAAATATATTCTCTTAGGACACACCTGACTGTTTAACAGGATCTGGTGTCTGCCACATGTAAGTATGTAAACAGAAAACACTTCAAAAGTAGGATTCAAGTTACTCAAGACACTCACTCATTCCTTATTGACCTTTTACAAAAAAAAATACTTATCATAAAAAACATACATATGTCTTCTGACATATGAAACATGAATATGTAGACCTGGAAAATAAAAAAAATACAATTCATAGACATTTAAGCAACCTGTCCAACCTCACCAACATTCATGCTTGAAAATAAAGCAGTCTGCAGTCATCTTTTATAATCTCTTCTAATACTTTTTTTCCTCATCCCGTTACTTCTTGTATGCAATACATAACATACATCCCTCCCCTGCCTCCTTGTTTCCTTTCCTTCCTATACTTTGTTCTACTTTCATCTCCTCCATGCTAACCGCAGATCACCCCTACATCTTCCCCATGTGAGCAGTTGTGTTTCCCCACCCTGGATCTCTTGCACTCCAGCAGCGACCTCTCCCCGCCCTCACACTCCACGTCATCCAACAGGATCCTGACGTTGCGGTCCGCCTCCCCCAAGGCAGCCCTCTTCATCACCGCCAACGCCGTGGTGAAGCCGAGCTGTCGACACACCACAGAACCTGCTTTGCTGGTGAAAAGGTCATCGCATACCGTCCCCCACTCCCCACGGATAAAGATCTCCAGTCTGCCTCGATCTGATAATCCATCAGTGGTCACCAGTCGCACCGAGCCGGCACGCAGCTTTCTTCCTCCTCTTCCTCCTCTTCCTCCTCTTCCTCTCTTCGAACCTCGACTTCTTCCTCGGGGCCTCTTGTATACTTGGTTAGCCCCTCCGGTGTTTTCCAGCTTCTCTCCGAGCCGCTGCCCCTCTTCTTGTGTTTTGGTCGGTGTTGTGTTGACCGGCGGTCTCTGGGGCTTGTATCCTGATGTCGTGGGTTTCAGACTCCAATACTGCGGCCGTGGTGTGGTCAACGCTGCTGGGCGCTCAGAGGTCAAAGCCACCTTGGGGCGTTTCATGGATGTTGTGGATGGGGAAGGAGGAGGTTGTGCTGATGTTAAAGATTTGGAGGTGGTAATAGGAGCGTATTGAAGGGGTCTCCCGTGTTTCCTGGTTGGAGATGTGGGGATGATTGGTGTTTGAGCACTCCTAGTGAAGGCCGCAGTCATGATGGTTGTGCGATAACCTGATGGAGAGACAGAATCACCCTCTTTATTTGAATATATGTAGTTTAACACTGTGCTTTTTTTGACATTTTGGGAAATGTGCTTATTGTCTTTCTTGCCAAGAGTGGGTGAGAAGATTAATACCATTATGTTGGTAATGATGAAGCTAATTCCAGTAAGCTTAATTTAGCAGAAAGACGAAAACATGAGGGGAAAGCTCGTCTGGATCCGTCCAAAGATAATTAAATATGCATACCACCAGACCAAAAGGGTAAAAGTGTCAAAGAAGTCAATGCATCCAACCAAGAATCCCTGTGAAACTTTAAATATTTATATTCAAATTTTGTTTCTGTGAGTAGGCGGTATAACAAATGTATTAGTGAGCTTTAGATTGTGTTAACTTTGGCCAGATCTAGGCTAGCTGTTTCCCACTGTTTCCAAAAATGAAATAAGCTTATTTTTGAAACATTGCAACATATCTTTTAGTAATACACCAAGAAGGTAGTTTTAGAACTGAGGATGTTACAAATCTCAGATTTCTCCAAGCCATTTAAAGCAATGCTATCCATGAAAAGGCAAAGGAAAGACATAAACACAGACACACAAAGATGAATGTCCAAACTGAAGCTGATGCAGAACCATTTATTAAAAATAAATAATGCCAAAGTACTTGATTTAAATTAAAGTATTGCAGATACCCAACACAAAAATAAGCACCATTGTTTCTGCTCAAGATTCTTGTACCAGCCAAAGAAACTTATGCTAGCAGGAAATCAAGTTTCTACTTTTTCTAAAAGCCCTGTACCTGAGTCCTTACCCTGTGCGTCAGCAAAGGCAAACCTCCTAAATATGATCGGTTAGCAGTTAGCAAAATATCATTAAAAGCTGTAGTGTATTTGATATCAAGTTTCAGAATATTTCCATTCAATGATTTATAATAACATTTTATGCATTGTTTTTTTTGTTGCATTTTATGCATTGCATTTTTTTCAGCTTTTCCAGTGCAAATTGCAAAGACTGATAATAAGCATATGTAAAAGAACAAAATTGCATTAAATTATTACCTACCTATGTTGCATATTATTTTATGGCGTCTCAGAAGTGGTTAATATAAGAATAAGCAAAACAGAAAATCTAGTTTTTCAAATATAATAAACAATGTTTGAATTAATTTTCCACAAAAAACATAAAATAATTTATTATAAATAGATTGCTGTTGCATGTATCAAGAAGGCCCACTCGCTGTTTTACTGTAGTAGATTTCTCTCCTCACTATTTGGTACCTGTTTTATCTCTTCTATTTTCACCATGTAAGAAGACATCTTTAAAATATTGTATTAGCTGCTTGTTTTACCTTTATATACTGACCAAAAACTACCTAAAAAAGGTTCTGATCAATTTTCAAAGTAAACTTACTTGAACTTAGCTGCCAAACTATTCATGTTATTTTGTATGTATTTATTTAATATAACTTATTTATAAAGTTAAGCCACTATACTGCCTGTATCTCACTTAGCAACTAAGATCCCTCAGCATTAATCATTGAATGAAAATCAGTTGAACAGAGTTTAGTAATTTGGCTATTAGCATGTTAAATGTAAAGCAACAGTAGAGCACAGAAGAAGAAAGCAGCTGGTTTCACTCTGGTGGCTTCTCCCTGCACTGGTCTACTGGTGGGTTTACGGTTAGTTTTACCAGTTGCCTTAGTGGTTGTGTGAACATTGGAGCTAGTAGTTGGGTTATCAGTGGAGCTGGTAAGATGAACAGGTTCACCAGTGGGCCTACCGGTGGGTGTGGTTGGGGCGGGGGTTGTTTCCTTGGCCTTCTGGACAGTTGTTGGTACGGTTGTTGGTTTAATTGTTGTTTTTGAGGTTGTTTTTAGTGCTGTTGTTGGGGGTGTTTTTCTTGTTGTCTGTAATGTTGTTTTTCTTATTGTTTTTCTTGTTGGCATTGGTGGTTTGATAATAATAATTGGTGTTTTTCTTCTTGGGGGTGTTTTCGTTGTTGTTGTAGTTTTTCTTGTGGATGTTGTTGGTATTGGTGTGGTTGTTGGTTTCTTGTTGATTACGAACTCTGCAAACAAAAAATACATTTGATCAGCGTAATAAAAAATGCTTCAGACTATGAAACATAACTTCTACATGTTGCACATTGACAAAATAATGATAATAATAAACAATATAATTTTGTTGGATTCAAAACACACTGAGAAATTAAACGTGCAATAGAAGGTTACCAGGAAATGTTGTCTCAAATGTTAACATTATTTAAAGAATTCCTTACCTTCTTTGGGGTAGAAGTGAATCAGTTTTCCTTTTATCTTAACAGGAGCAGGTTTGAAGCTGCATTTTCCTGGTGCTGCTCGCCTATGTAGACACGAGAGGGGAAAAAAAGGTCACTCATGCAACCTATACAAGTACTTTTGAACTTTTGAAATGTAGGTTATTCTAAGATCAGCTACTCTAAAAACCTCTACCCCACAAACCCCTGCAGGTATGATGAAAGTGTATTTGTTGCTCTACTATTGAGTTGTAATGTGTAGCTACCTGGAAGGATCCACTATCTTATAGACGACTCCTGCTCTGGCCTTGGCACTCGCCACTCCAGTGGCCAAGAAATACAGTTCACCTAGAAAGATGGACAGAGAAAAGAGAGAGAGAGAGAGGGAGACAGAGATAGGTGGAGAGTAAAAGACAATCCAAACGGAAAATAGCAAACACAAGTTATTGAAAGGGAAGAAATGGGGCTCAGTCAAGTTATTCAACATTGCTTTAACTTTTAAACGTACCTGCTTCATCCTCAGCAAAAGAGATGATGTATTTATAATAACTGTTGATGAGTTTTGGGAATCTGCAGGTCTGGTCTCCTCCCATGCAGATCTCTCTGTACTGCCATTCACCTGAAGCGACATTCTCCTTCAGAGACATCAGACGCCTGAACAGAAACAAACAGTACATCAATTAAACATTTAAAATCAAGAATGTCATGCTTACTGTAATGGTTGATGTTGAAGTGTCGTGTTGAAAGGTTTTTGCTTAATATCCACAATTTCCAGGACAAAGAAATATATGTGCCTGTTTTAATAGGCTGTGTACTATGGCCACTATGACAAATTGGACACTGGGTATCTGCAGTGAGGGCGAGAATGTGTCTGAAGAAGATGTGTGAAGTTTACATTATGGAATAACGCAGAAACACTAACCCACTCATGAAATCCCCAAAGATGTAGAGTCCGTTAAGGTTGGGCATCTGACAGCCTCTGTAGATGTAACCTCCCGTCACTGATTTGCCCAGTTTGTGGGGGTAGGCAAAGATAGGCAGGATGTCATCTAGACATCGACATAAAATAAAAACTTATGAATTAACTTCCTTTGTCAGCATAACAAGAAGACAATACCACTACACACTAAGCATGAAGAATGACAGTTATGCATCATCATTTTAAGTGCTTTTTAAATGTACCTAAATTTAAGAAGCTTTCACAGTCTTTAACAGCATATATATTGTGAAACGTATCATCCTCATCATCATAGATTGTAAAAAAGTGCATGGCAGCAGCCAGGAGAGCGTCCTCACCTAGCGAGGAGTTTAGACAGAGTTTGCGATCGTAGCAGCTGAAGCCTTCTTTGGCCCTCCATCCGTAGTTCCCTCCTTCAAACATGTACATACAAAGTTAGTGCAACATTGCAGGCAGACAGCTACCGTACCATTATTTCAAAATGGAATTGCTTCACGGTGCAGTAAATATACTGTAGAAAGTTTCTAACTGAGAAGAGTATTGTTTGGCTGTAATTAGATGACTATTTCATAGCTCTTTTGGGTTTCTACATAAGCAGATCACTTTCACTGTAATTGTAAGGTAGAAGGCTGACATTAAACTATAATGTCTGACTCCATTTCTGTGTGGTCTTTAGATAACAGAGTTATATGACATGAGGATGAGTAGATAATGACAGCCATCTAGTGTAAGATTGAACCATTTATTTTGGAGATATGATAAAGACGCTGTCAGTGTGATCGTGAATTTAGAGGTTTTGAAATGAGATGGTGTTTTGAACTAAAGTCATCATACCTTTAACAATAAGGTCCACCTCCTCAAATTTGTTTTGGCCTACGTCACCACAAAACATCCTGCCTCCGCCTCGGCCTGTGCTGGGGTCACCTCGGTCGATGGAGCAACGCCACATGTTGCGAACTCCATAGGCATAAATCTCTGAACGGAAAGAAAACAAACACATTATATGTAAACACAAATACCATGCATCCTTTGTGAGGCTGAGTACAGACACCAAAGGCGTATTTTTATTCTCAGTGTTCATTCTTCTTCTTTTTCTCAGTTAGAGAAGCCCCACTGTAGACACACATTTCAAAGTCTAAATTCATATTTGGAATTGTGCCATAATCTTAAATATTCAATTCATCCTAACTGTGAAGAGATATAATAACATTATCCAACATTTGTAGAAAATGTAAGCTGATTTACCGGGTCGAGCTTCTTTCTCGTGCAAGAAAGGGTTGTCAGAGGGGATGCTGTACGGGGTGCCATCGTCATTGTCCACATCAAGACGCAGCACCTTCCCGAGGAGTGTTGATCTTTTCAAAACAGAAAGTAGATGAGAGAATGAAAAGGATTCAGAAAGACTGAGGTGACAGAATGAGTGAGTGCTTTAATAAAAGGCAGATCCAAAAAGATCCTTACCTGTAATTTGTGTTCATTTTGTGTAAAGTTTGTTTCATCTTTGACCTAACACTGTCTCATTTTCTTTTCTACTTGTTGTGAAAAACCTATTTATTTTCTGCAATGAAATATCAAACTTGCATTTAATTTCCTGGTAAAGGCCAACTGTGTTTGGTTACAATGCTTCACATTTGTCTCTGTCTCTGTCTCTGTCTCTGTCTTCTGTCTCTGTCTCTGTTCTGTCTCTGTCTCTGTCTCTGTTCTGCTCTTGTCTCTGTCTTCTGTCTGTCTGTCTAAATGTCTCTTCTCTTCGTACTCTGTCTAGCTAGAGAAATCGAAGATGTCTCTACGCGATACTCGTAGGACGATAGATCTCTCTAGAAGAGAATAGATCGACTTCTCTATCTCTATCTCTTCTCTATCCGCTCTCTCTCTCTCTCATCTCTCTCTCTCTCTCTCTCTCTCTCTCTCTCTCTCTCTCTCTCTCTCTCTCTCTCTCTCCACATACCAATGTGTGGTGGTCAGTAACGTGTTGTGTCAATATTAGACTTGGCGCTCTGTGTGCTCCCTCATTCCCAGAACGGCTAATGGAGCCTGTCAACAAAACTCCTAAGAAACAGCTACGCTATAACTGTCTGGAGAAAAGTGGTCAGCATCTCAGATAATCCTTGTGAAATGGTTCCTAAAGTGTCATTAACCCAATACTGTTTTATTCTTAGTTTTGGTCTAAATTTAATTGAGCCTCTCTCATGAGCATAACAAAGGTTTTTCTTTTAATATGAAGCTGCAATAATTGTTTATTATAGTCCAAGTATTTGTAGCTGTAGTGTAAGTATGATGCATGAAGTAGTTGGAGTATAGTGTAGTAATATATGTCCTTCCAACTTTGTTGTCCTTTAGCTGTAATTCACATTTAAGCCACTGAAAGTTGATCAAATGATAATGAAGAATGACAGTTGTAGCTTGTAGCAATCAAGGCTAATCTTTCATGACAGTGAAACAAACCACATCCACAAACATATGTGCACATACATAAACATATACACACAAAGAAACAATGCCTTTAGATACAGCTAGCCTTTCTATGAAATTAATCAAATTAATTACACTGCAAAGGTCATGTTGATGAGATTATTCCCTGCAGTCCCTTCAACAAAAGCTCCTTTTATAAAGCTTACATGCACCATTGCCATCAACACATCTTGTCACATCTCCCATTGACGTCTGTGGACTGCCACCAGATGCTTATGTGGCTTGTTCTTTAATAAATGTGTTTACTGTCATTGCTTAATCCTGAAGAGAACAATGGACATACTGTACTTTCTTAATTAATGCTCTACATTCTTTCCACAATTACTTCAAATATGCAGTCCAATAATGGAAATCTATATCACTCTTGATCTTCGGACAGTTCATTTACACAACTTCTTCAATAATCTTCGGTGGCGTGCTAACTTTCAGCCCTGTTAATCCTCCCGAAAGTGTAGAGCACTTCTATTTAAAAAATATACATAATGGAGTTCTCAATAATCCCCCTAGAATGAACAATACGTTTGTTATTGCAGCTCCAATTGAAGAAGTGCTCTACAGGGCCTGCCATGCATCTTTATGATAATTGGTGTGCACAATTGGACTAATTTGCAGCATTTAAGCCAATCATTACAGGAATTTTCATAAGTGGAAGATAACCAGACTTGTAAAATATATAATTGAAAGTTACAACAGAGCAACTTGAGAGTCTGCAAAGCTTTTAAGTGTTTTTTCTCCATAAATCTGCTCCTTTTCATTAGACTTAATTGGAATTGAATTATCGGGAACTCCTTTTTGGCAGAACTGGTTCTAACCAGACTTTGGTATTGGTATCTAGCCAACATCTTAACAACGTCACGGTGTCTCGCAAAATTTGACATGAAGAGTACCTTTTTCACATAAAATGTTAACAACCTCTCAGAGCAATCAAAGGATATGTTTATTTTTGCAAGTAGATTGATCTTCCAAACAATTACTGTCAAAGTTTTCCAAGGCTCACGTCACAGATTTGAAGCTAATTTTCAGGTATGCTGTTGTAGCATGTTGCAACAACAGTCGGCTACTTCAGGACATTTGACGTGAGTTTAAGAAAAAACTAAAGTCAACCCACTCTAGCTACTATATTGGTTTATGTATACTTACTTGTTCTGTGAGTTGCCAAACTTTCCAAATGGGTCTCCAGCTCGGCCACCATCACCGATGAAGATGTACAGGTACCCGTCACGGCCAAATAGAAGCTGTCCTCCATTGTGATTGGATGCTGGCTCTACCACCTCAAGAATAGTCCTAAACGTGTAGAATACCAGAACTTACAAATATTCCGCTACAACATTATTCTAAAATAACTCATTTGTCTCCATTTGTGTTTCTGTAGACTTTTCTCCTCACCTCTCAGAGGAGTGATCTAGTTGGTTGTCATCGGCTGTTAGCAGAGTGAATTCGCTGACACGTATCCTCTCCTCCTTCTTTACGGACACAGAGTAGTACACGTAGGCTTTTCTGACCTCATCGAACCTTTACAAAGAAAAGGAAGCAGAAGAGATCATACTTCACACAAAGGCTTAGTGACCCTTTTTTCACTGAGAATCATGAAAACCATCACTGTTGATGTCCCTAACCCTCACAGATAACTTGAATAGAAGTATGAACCTTGGGTGTAGGGCTATGCAAAGGAATCCTCTCTCGTCTCCTGCCCACGGTGATGTGAGGACGGCATGGGTGAGGTTAAGGAAAGGCCGGTCGATCCTGGAGCCGTTGGCCAGATACACCCACACATAGCCCAGCTGCTCCGCCACGAAGAATCGATGAGTCCCGTCTTCTGCGTGAATCATGGCCACAGGGTTACGGAGCCCGTTGGCAACCTCTTGCAAACACAGCTCCAGACATCCCGTGGGATCTTCACGGACCAAGCCGAGGTTAGCATTCAGCTCTAGGGACAGAAAAGTAAATAAGAAAGGAAGGAGTAAATGGAATATTAGATGCACACAAAACAGGAAAGGGTTTTAGGGCCAAATATAAGTGCGTCTTATAGAAAAGAGTTGACCTGGTATCTTGCATTCCAAATCCAACCTGCGCATATAAAACCTACTACTGCCAGTTCTAGACCAAAACAATACAACCTTCTTCATATTCATCTAATGGATTGTTATCATAAGATATGGGGAGGCTAGCTGTATAATGTATAATATATGTCTAAACAATCATTATTTTGCCATCCTTATGAGCAGGATAACAAGGTGAAGCAATGTCTGCTCATAATTCATAACAAGACTGTTCTGTAAGTGCAAGTTCAGGTTCCTGCCAGTGGAAACAATTTTTTCAGTCTCTGACAACCTGTTTGTTCATGTTGGCTGTTTATTTAAGTGGGGAAATCAAAATGTGTTCCACTTTTCCACTCAACCTCACAGTAAGATCAGACGAGTGTTCATCAGTGTGAGTGTGTGTGTGCTGCTGAACCTGTTTCTACACCATACCTGTATTTGTCAACACATTAGGATAGCAGTATTGCTTGTCCTTCAGCTCCAGATAGTCACAGAACTTTTTGCGGTCTTCTTCTATCGTTGCAGTCAGGTTTGCAAACTGCTGCGGGTTCCCCGAGTCCTCCAAGAGGAGGCTGAGCGTGTAGCGACACTGCATCCAGTAGCCGGAGCAGTAATCCCCGCAGAGGCCAGGCAGCATCCGCATGGGCGTGTTAGCATCTTCAGCATCGAACAGGTGGGCCGAGTATGGAGAACACTCCTGCAAAGGGAAAGAGGATTTAACACAAAAATATTGAAAGTAATGAAGAAGCCATAAAGACAGACATTTTCTCATAATTGTATGTGAGTATTGTGTCTCACTGGATATTTCTGGTTCTATCTACGTAGGTCTTCATCTGTGTCTGTACTCATTAACCCTCCTTTAGGCCAATGTGTTTGCCTCAGAGGTAAAGTAAAGGATATGTATGGATCACATAAATATAGGATTTGTGTACTTATTCACCGCAGCTCTTCACCGCCTCACTATGACTGGTCAGGCCTGCTTATATACTGGCTGTCTGAGGGTATGGTATAAATGGATCCCTGGAAAGGTCCAGTCAGTTATTAAGTCACAACCACACTGTCCACACCCAGAATGGTAAGCTTCATGCACACGGAGGCACGACACCCAAACCATCGTGTGGTCAACTGGTGCTCTTTTACTCAGAGCCAGATCATCCTAACCGATCATCACCATAAAAACGAAGCCCAAAGCTCAAAAGGATGAGATCACTGTTAAAAAAACACACAACTGAACTAGAAAAGCACCCTGGAGCATAGAAGAAGTCCAACTGTCATATCTCCCAATGTTGACAACAATAATAATTGTTTTTGTACCATGATTGGGAAACACCCCACAATGTAATATGTTTATTCCTTGTCTAATGCTTCACCTTTCCACCAAGATTCCTACAAATCAGGCCAGGTGTTTTATTCCGTAATTATGCTGACAAACTGACAAGATAACATTGTTGACAAGAGGTTACAACTTGATGGTCAAACGATCCTAGGCTTTTGAATACTGTCATGTTTTGTTTGCGTAATGCCCAAGGATGAGTTTATTTTCCAAATGCATTTGGCTTTTAGGTATCAAAAAGTAACTGGTCTGGGGAATGCAAAACTTTTACATTAAATAATTCAGCACACATCAGAAGGTCTTAGACGTACTCTTATGCACATGGCACTTGTAAGCCTTGAACAAAAAAGTTGCTGCTGTCTCTTACTTTTAGGTAAGGAAAGATTCAGTAGTTTTTCGAGATTGCTTCAGTTTTTCTCCTAAATGTCTAAGGGAAGAAGAGCACTTTAAAGATAATGTAGGCACAAAATAAATATTGTCTTCTTTATTTTGTAGTTGCAACCACATAATCTATTGTAATTAGATGCAAATTCATCTGAGAAATATTTTGAATATGCATAAACTAGCTTCCGAGATCATACAGTGCAGTCATGAAAACAATACACACAAGAAACAAAAACTTTATTCGTACACCTACACAGACAAACTCTGTCTCTTAACAGTGCATGTGGGTGTGTGCTTCTACCTGGATCTTCTGCTTATTAATAATTTACACCTTTATTTCTTTGTGCATGTAAAGCTTCCCCATTAACTATGACATATTATGAATAATGAATATAATAGAAAGGCAGAAGATGTGGCGTTCATGCCGTCTATGTGCTTCAAGGTTTGTTATGCAAAAAACACACTGGACGCTGCACTTGGTCAGAAACCAGAGGAGACTGTGAAGTCCACCGCAGATGGACCACTTTTGGACCAAATGTACTTTCCATTAAGGGCAGCTCATTGTGGAATAGCCTCCCAACTGAGATACGGGATTGTCCCACTCTCAATAGCTTCAAAGGTCAACTCAAAGATTGGTTGAGAAACAAACATCCGTGCAATCACCGCTAAATGCACTTTAACACAGGTGTATCTCCTCTTGCACTTTAGGTAGCTCTTGTATCTTCTCTTGCACTTTATATGTCGTTGCTGCTATATTGTATTACGATGTCATAAATACTTGTGTATGCTGCTCTTGCTCTTTTGCACCTTTTGCATATCATGTATTTTGTTTTTGCTATGTTTGTCAAATGTAAACTTCTTAAATGTTTTATGTGAGGGACTGCGGATGGAAATTAGCTCAAAGCTAAATCTGGCACTGTTACGCTTGACACATTTGAATGTTTTAAAGGTAGGGTAGGTAAGAATGGAGAAACCAGTTCGAGTGCGCTAGAATTTGAAAGTACACAACCGGAAAAAATCTGCCTCTTCCTTCAGACTTCCGTACAGAGCCCCTCCTCCAACACACACGAACGTGCACATGACCAATGAGGGCACGAGATAAGTTTGTGCACAGATGGAAGGCTGACAGGCAGGTAGGCCATCCAGTTATTTTAGCCGGGCTGGCTAAAATGATTGGTCGTGCTTTTTACAGCACTACGGCTTCCACAGATGACATTTTTTAATGTATTTATTATCAAAGCATTTAATGTATTCATTGCTATTGGGATGTTAAAAGCATTCCATGGAATATAACAAAAAGTGTTTCTGAAGTGAATTACCTACCCTACCTTTAAGTGTTCATTACTGTGCATTGTCCCTGCCAAATAAACGATTAAAAAAGAAAAAAAGGGTTATTTCTCTATACTTATCACTTTTTGAGATAATTCATTTATTTTATTAGTCTTACATTAATCTAATTTTCAGAAATGTTCTTGGTGCCCCTTGGATCAACCCTAACCCTTACGATTATGGCATGGAACCCCTAAAATACAAATGATTAGATTTTCATTATTGGCCAAAGAAGAGATGAAGAGAAGTTAGCTGTAACAGAGACTCTTTGTTAAATAACATAAAAGTGCTTTGCTGGGCAGAGATCAGAGCCTGGGAAACAAGAAGGCACTGGTCACATTGCTCTGCAGTGTCTGTACTTCGCCTGTTTGACCCTCTGAAATTAAACAAACAGCCTTTGTTCTGAGTTTTATTTTGTATCCTACTATCATAGGGTAGGATAAATGCATCTATGTAAGTGCTAACAGCTGTTCCCTAACAATGCAGCCACTTCAAACTACCATAATTTGTTGTTTACGCTGTACAGTTAGGAATAAACTGAATTTCAGACTTAAGCTGGAAATAAAAGCCTTTATTTTGTCTTCTGCCTTACTGACTCCATACTGCACTTAAATGTCCACATTGTGGTGTGAGAGACAGAGAGAGGAGTCATGGCAAACAGATGGCCAGTAAATGTGTGAACATGGACCCCATAGAGAAAGTAAGGTTAAAAGAAAAGGGAGATGGAAAAAAAATGGAAGAGAGGTACCTGTGCCTCAACTTTCCTACAAAAACGACCCGATTCAAGTATAGTCAATTATAGTTGGGGTTAGTTACTACAGTATGGATACTGCATTTCTGTGTGTTGGGGATTTGTTGTGGTATGGGGCTCTCACATGCTGTTTAGAAACTTGAACATCTGCAGTTTTCTTCAGCTGTAATTGGAGACAAGAGTCTAAAAGATGCAGAAACACTTCTTATTAAAAATGCAACTGGGAAACAATTAATTCAGTGTTGTGTTGTTTTGCTAAGTGCTCACTAAATGCTTGAAATGGCCTCAGTTGGTTTGAGTTGTGTTTTCAATTCAATTATTGAATGACCAGACACAGACACAAAAACACATTATTCTAAAACAGTTGCTCAAAATAATTGAACTTTTCAACTTCTGTCTTCCTGTTTTCATCGAGTTTACTGATCTATTTTTACTGATTTCATCTCTCTCACTCTTTTTTCTTTTCCATCCCTTCTCTTTGTGACCCTCTCTTGCAGGAACTTGATATATCCTGTACCCCGGGCCAGATGAGGAAATTATTGTTTGCTCTGTCAGTTAAGCTGGGGGAAGATGACAATCTCCCTCCTGTCTTCCACAAAAACAACACACACACCTGTCTGTCTGCCTCTCTCTCTCTCTCTCTCTCTCTCTCTCTCTCTCTCTCTCTCTCTCTCTCTCTCTCTCTCTCTCTCTCTCTCTCTCTCTCTCTCTCTCTCTCTCTCTCTCTTTACTGTCTTATCAGTGCTAGGAAGCTCCTGCAGTGCATGGAGAACAGAGGGCCTCAGTGTGGTGGGTTTACTCTGAGTACCCTGGCAGAGAGGCAATCCGACCACCTCCAGGGAATCTTTCACCTCAAACTGCAACCCTTGGAGCTGAAAACCACAGAGTGTGTCTGAGTGAGGCTCTCAAGTAGATTTTTTGACAATACAAATATTCATAATTTAAAGAATTAACAAACACCCATTTCGGTGCTATTATCCACTTTAATTGAATAACCACGTCAAAAGACTGAAATCATAAAAAACAGAAAAGGTTTGTAACCAAAACACTTTTGTTTTCTATTATAATAATTGTGCTTCTTTAAGAATTTTATAAATGAATGCTAATGCTAAGTAACCGTATATTTTTTGCTTTCTAAAAGTAGGTCGTAATAGGTAATGTTGTTTGTAACCCCTGTCTCAGATGTTCATATTTACTTTGTCAAGGACTCTACATTACTCTGGCTACATCTCACTGCTACTATACTTTTTGTTGAAAGTTGTACGTGCGTTGCAGCACTGTCTTTAGAACATTTACCCTGCTTGGAAAGAACCACACTGGGCTATAATTACCAGAATGATAGAAACCTATATTTTAAGAGTCATAGGATTTGTCACTGTCTTAACATAGTGCATGATGAATTAAACTTCCAGGAAGTTTTTTTCTTTTCTTTTGTTTTGGCCTTAATACAAAGGTTTTATTTTTGGGAGAGCCCACAGACCGTTTTCTTTGGCTTTCTCCAAATAAGGATTTAAAGAAGAGGTTAATGAGCCGAGACAGATTTGTGTTGCAGCTATCATTCAATTTGCACTCACCATCTGCACAAAGTTAGTGTCTGTGCTGCAAAGTCAGCACCTACTGTAATTATACAATCAGTGTGGGACTGGCTTCAAGGCTCTCAGTCTGCCAGTGAAAGAGAGGAGGAAGTTGTTTAAGATTAGCAAGCTCAGAAAATAATTAAAAACAAAGTGATACTGAAATAGAAACAGACCTTAACATATGCTTTCGTCCTGCTCGTTGGAAGTTAGAGTATACTGTCTACTTCTACTGCAGTTTAACACCATTATCACAATAACATTAAGCCTGGAAATGTCTTGTTGGGCTTATGCAGTGAGTCATTGCTTTTAAATGGAAAAGTAATGCAATCAATGTACATTTGAAAAGAAATGTAAAGTTTTATTATATTCAGTTTGAATTTTTTTTCATCCACCAATCATGAAGATGTTTATATAATTAAGGTTGATTGAGGTTCCCCTCCACAATTCAAGACAGCTAAGGTTATTCCAATTTGTGAGGATCTTCAAGGGAATTTTGTGGAGTAAAAAAAGTTTGAGTAAATGTGGCGTTTAATTGGTGGTACAACTTTTTCCATTAAGTCATTCTGATTTAGGGTCTTGAGTCATGTTTCTGTCCATCTTGTGTAAGAGAAGACACTAAAAAAAGACGTCTGGGAATTGGTCAGGGAGGAAGCATACTCTCTTTGTTGATTTACTGCATACAGTATGATGCACACATGAGAAAACCAGTGAGTCCAGTCAACAATTGAACATCTGTGCCAATGTGTCCAAAGTTCAAGTGAGGTTTTGCCTCAAAGGATTGCCTTTGGATTTAGTTATGTTCTTATCAAATGGTGAGTTTATGGTCTTTATTTCAAAGTAAGTTTAAAAGTTTATTGCACAGCTTTATTTGACTTGTTTAGGTCCACCCAAGAACACATAACCATTAGTTAAGAATGTGGTTTAACTCTCTAAGCATGAGTAAGTGCTTTCTAACAGATGTCAACCACACCACAATATCCTTTGGAGTGAGACAGAACCTTGTGTTTGAGACAAGCTTGGTGGCTATTTGGTTCCCATTTGAAATATGAGTGGCAATGTTATTACCTGAGAAACTAAACCAGAGGAAAATGCTTTAAATAAACGACTAAAAATATGCACACTGTTTCTTTAAGACATCTTGGTGCAATACCTTGGACACTAAATCCAGGTTTCAAAGTAGGGACAGCAAACATCCTCAGTCAGACAAATGTAATCCTTGCATGCAGGCCATAATTATTTTGTTTCACAAAAACGCGTATATTAAAGTCAGTAGCTACACTAACCCATGGTGGAAAGATTAATGTGGGTTTTACTTCGGTAATGACTATAGCATGTGACAGGTGTGTGTTTACAGTAAAGAAGTATAGTTTATGTCACAAATTAAATCAATTACAACCAAATTCAAATCATACCAAAATAATCCTTTGAACACATGGACACATTATCAAACATATTAATAATGATATGATTGTTTACATGTTTTGCTTACCTGGCAGAGGATGCTGCGTATGTACCTGCCACAGGCTTCATAACCTGAATGGTCAAAGTTGTCCATGATGGTGTAAAACTTGGCTGATATTTCCCCATCTTTTTCCAGATCGCAGCATCCAAACTTGCTATACTCTTTACAGAAGACCAGTGGCTGTCGGGGCTCAAACGGAGGCTTGTAATCCAAACACTGGGGGTGACAGCACCCTCCCCAGGCATGGAGAAGTAACAGCAGGACAAAGGGAAGGAGGTGAGGAACCAAGGAGTGATGCAAATTACAGGTCTGTAGGGCCATGGTTTGAAGATACTGTCTTTCAGATTAGGATAAATTGGCTCTTAACCCAATTATGCAGTAAATCAAAGCAGCTTGGGTGTGATATTTCACTACAATGTGTGAGAAGAGGAGAGCATTGTTCTAAAACAATGCACATGTTAAGTCTCCAGCAGCATCTGTCAAGCACAGGGCTGAGACTCAAAATGAATTTTTCTGAAAGGATTGGATGTCCTCATTTGATTCCCTGGTCTCTGCAGATGCATCCGTGTGTGTTTCTATAGGAGATCAAACACACTGACCCAGTATCACACCTGCCTGCAAGTTGACATGTACACTTCGCAGAACCCAGATAGTATATGGCAAACTGCACATTTGGATGTGTGTAAAGTAAGGTCAAACTGATCCAGTTCCAGTAAATGCATTTGATTGAATGCAGATGTCCAGGATGTGTGTGCCGGTTGGTAGAAGCAATACCCCAACGTCTGGTTGGTGAAGAGATTCAATCCTTGTCAGTAGTATCTGCAAAAATACCTGTAGATCACAACACAAGTTCTTCAAAAAAGAAAGTGTCCAAGTCTTCAAGTTACAAAATCTTAATGTCCATCATATGACCATTTCTGAAAAAGATAAGTTACTTTCTGGATGCTCAGCAACCCTCAAAGAAAGCAGTCATATTCCTGAAAGTAGTCAGGCAGGGACCTACATTTAAAGTTGCACCTTCAGGCGAAGTTCCTGCGAAAATATTTACTTCAAGCTTGAAGTCAAGAGAGAGTCTCGCTGTGTTTGCTCTGGACATGTGCTCACTTGCTGCTGCAGACATGAGCCATGCACACAGACAGCAGGAGAGAGTGGGAGAGAGAGCCTCTTTCATTCAGACACAGAGCCACACTGCAGAACTTCACTTAGATCCCTCCCTCCTTCCTTCCCTCCTCCTCCATTCTCCTCCTCTCTTCTTTTCATTTGCTCTTTTACTCTTCTACAAAGACACAAGCATTCCTTCCCATAGCATGTGGTCTATATTGCCCTGAAGTTGCAACTTTCCAACTCTCCTCCCTCCTCACTCTCGCCCCCCTTCAGCATTCCCAGACCTCCTTTCCGTCTCTAGCGTTTCCAGACAGACTCCCTCACACTGGTGTTTGTGTGTGTGTGCATTTGTGTGTGTGTGTGTGTGTGTGTGTGTGTGTGTGTGTGTGTGTGTGTGTGTGTGTGTGTGTGTGTGTGTGTGTGTGTGTGTGTGTGTGTGTGTGTGTGTGTGTGTGTGTGTGTGTGTGTGTGTGTGTGTGTGTGTGTGTGTGTGTGTGGTCAGATCAGGACGTGTGCTGGAAGTAGAGACCAATGGATTCTCCAGGCACAAATCCACATCTTATGTTAAAGAACAGAGCCGGCCAACATTTGTATTTAATTAAATTGCCTCAAACATTTTCTTCAACCAACTCAGAAACCATCCAACAAAGGATATTGCTTATATTGATGTGCTGCTTGATTTTGGACTGAGTTACAGTATATGTAAACTAATTGTATTTGTATGGTTTATTTATGCTTCTTAAATGTCTCACATGCATACTGGTAGCGATAATCATATGTTATGTCCAGTATGGATTGAAAGAATAAATGTTTCTTATCAGAGCACTATTGTTGGGATGCTAAACACTTTTTGAATTTTTTGAACAAGTCTTTCAAAATTATCAGGGGGAAACAGTTTTTGCGGCACATTGTGAGTTTTAGCAGACTATAGCAGAGGTTATCTATTCCTTGTTCCACAGTGACATACGATGGCGTCAAAATATCCAAATGTAGCCATTGCCACAGTCATCTTTGCTCACAGACTTTGTAAATCCACACTTTCTGTGGTGCCTATGATTTTGTTTGTGATTGTGTGTTTAAGCTTGTATGTCGTGTAAAGTTTAATCTCTACATTTCATTCGGTTCTGGTCAACAAACTCTAGGTATTGGCTATGTACTTCTCCAGTTTCTAGGATGTAATTGGTGACGTCATTTGGGGTTTAATTTCACTCTGGAGACAGCTTTTCAGAAATGAAACAGCTGTGTATGTAATCAAATATATTCATTTCATAATCCCTTAAAAACAGCAATTGAACTGAACAATGACCGGTATTATTTTTAGTGTTAATGAAATATCACATTCTATTAAACATATTGTAGACTAAAGATGAGCGTGTGTCTGGTGTGTGTGTGTGTGTGTGTGTGTGTGGTGTGTGTGTGTGTGTGTGTGTGTGTGTGTGTGTGTGTGTGTGTGTGTGTGTGTGTGTGTGTGTGTGTGTGTGTGTGTGTGTGTGTGTGTGTGTGTGTGTGTGTGTGTGTGTGTGTGTGTGTGTGTGTGTGTGTGGCTACCATCTGTGTCTCATTATTGCCCAGTCACCTTTCAGATCAGAGAGTGACTACCATCTGGCTGTTTGTCAGACACTTAATCACAGATAGAAACATAATCTAGAGCCAGACGTCCCCCAGATTAAAAAGATTGATGGGCACTTTATCATGTTATGTAACTTCATGGTTCATCACAGGTCTAATAGATTACCAAGACAACGTGTTCATTATTCGACACTCTTTGAGGTTCCGGCATCTGATTCAAATATTAAACAAATATACCAAAAAGTCAGAAAAAAAGAGAAAGGACAGAAGAATAGGTGCCTTTTTAAAGCAGACTCCAGGCACTCATGTCATCAACTAATTTTGGTTCCAGACATAAAAGATAAAAGTTGCTGAAGCATGAACAAACAGGTATGTAACAATGAAGTAAATCACAGGATGTTCCAGGACATCATCTTCCTGTATCGCAATATTACACAAGCTTTGTTATGACCTATGGAGATGAATATCTAAATGTTTTCAGAGCTTTACACAGCTGTTTATCCCTGAAACTGAACACATACAAAGCTACTGTATTAATCCCTCAGAAGATTGTGCTTGAAAATTATCAGACATTTCCCACGAAACAGCTAAAAAACATAGTCATAGGCTAGTGAGTCAGCCCTTACTGGGAAACACACTCAGACACACACACACAGTCACACAGACACACACACCTTAGCTATCAAGGCACCAAGCACACTGATTTTCAGAATATGTGCATTACCTTTTTTTTCTTTTCTTAGACAAACTTACAACATAGGCTAGGCTACTAGTTAAAACACACCTCAGTTTCATAGTACATACTTTATCTAGTTGCACTAGTTATTCTCAGTTTAAAATGCCATTTGCATCATAATTTAAACACGAGTTCCTGAGACTTCTTTATCATCAACATCATCAATAATCTAAACCTAATGTACAGTATACAATGTAGCACATGTTTACTGCCCTCCTGTGGACTGTCAGAGTAATGCAGAAAGTAGAGGACAATCCACCCATCTAATACAAATTGACAATGACAATATGAACAATGTTGCCACAACTTGCTGTTTAATATGGCAGTATAAATACATAATGTGTTTGTAAATACGAGGTCAGTTTTACTTACAAAGTGACCACCTGGACTCCTGCTGCAGTGTTTGCTGCTGCACATACTTCCCTTGCCTCTGAGCCAATCTGACGGCCAAGGTGACAGTGCCTGCTAAGGTACGGCTAAAGAGCAGTTTGCCAAGAAAAACTAGTGAGCCAGGTTTCCATCATTATTTTCCACTGCCCTTCTCACACAATATCTTCACACATGTTTAATGTGTATCCATCTTAGTTCTGGGGAATGGTTTCTGGGTAAAATCTTGTTTATCTCACAGATAAGTCAGTAAGGTCAGGACGCCCGGCTCCCCGGACTGAGGAGTTATTTATATAAAATAATTTACCACAACAGTCTGGCGCCTATTAGGGTGTTACTTCGTCCAACATCACTTTGTTTATCATTATTTAATCTGTTCCTCTTTTCCTGGCATGGCCCCTGTTCTGGATTAAATGTACTGCCAAAGAGATCAGAGGTCACTGTTTTGTCGTAATGCAGCCAATGGTTTGTTTTATGTTTCCCTTCCAGGAGGAGCTTTTACAGTACAAGCTTGAATGAAGGCCAAGAGACAATTTAACTTTTTTGGTAAGAGATATCTTCAAGGTTTTTTGGTGATGACTCGCTATTTGGCCATAGAATAGGTTAGATTATGTGATCCTCCCCTGAAGATATTTAGTTTGGAGTTTAAATATACAGTGTATCTGTGTTCTTTTTCTAGCTCTTAGGCTGGTCATTGAAACCATTCACATTACTTTTATTTATTTATTTTTACTGCCATTATATCTCCCAGCTGCCATATTCATCTATTTCATCCAAATAACGAAACTACTATTTCAGTAAAGCAAAAAAGGAAACATCTAAATACCTATTCCTATACATTTTAATATTGTTGGCTCCCTTACTGATGTGACACAAATACAACCTTAAAACAAACTTCATTCAAACTGGAAATAAACTCAATTAAGCCGTCTTGGCAAGGTATTTCCACTGTTGGAACAATCTCTGGTTTGTTAAAAATAACCCTTACTCTGAGTCATATGTTTAAAAAGGCCGGCTCTACAGGCTGCTTATCCCCACTTTCTCTCTCTTTCCCTCCACAAAGCACATGTCGATGTGACAGAAGTTGTCCAAAAAACATCATACTGTACTTACTGTGGATGTAGTAGTATGTCTGGTACCTGTTAGCTTTAACCACACAAGGTTATAAGCATGTTAAGAGCAGTGAGTCAATGACGGTATCAAACAGTAAATACAATATTTAAACTAGTAGAGAACTGCAACAAAGAGAGGTCTTTAAAAATGCAGTGATACACACACACACACAAACACACACGCACAACCAAACACAAGATCTCCCTGGCGAAGAGAAATCACTTTTGATACTGTATACAGTAAAGGAGATTCCTTTTGTCTGTTTGTTCATGTTTGCGTGTACAGGACATTTTTGTCCCCATGTGTGCGCATGAGTTCATTCATCTGCAGGCTGTGTGTTGGAGGATCTCACATCTCCCCAAAGACAGCCGTGCCTGGCAGGAACACAGATGGAGTGTCTGGGATAGCCTGAAGTGCACATCTAAAACACACACACACACACACACACACACAAACACACACACACACACACACACACACACACACACACAAACACACACACACACACACACACACACACACACACATACACCTCACACACACACACACACACACACACACACACCTCACACACACATGATTATACAATGCCTTTCAAAATCCACAGTTAAAAGAACACACTGAAAGGAATGAATTGTTATAATAAGAATAAGAAGAATTGTGCTTACCCAGAACTGTCTATCATTAATCTTTGCCATTGGGACCACGAAATGGATTCATAAATCATTTGAGAAAGAAGGAAATTAGAGAAATAATGAATGACAGTGATTGGGGAAGAAGAGAGGTAGCGCGTGACACACTTTAGATATTGGAAAAAGATACACAGAGAGAAAGACTTACCACAGATTCTGCCTCTATTACTCTATGTCATGAGTCCATTAGTTCCATTCATTAATACCATTACTGTGTCTAATGGGACTGTTGTAACATGCAAAGACTACATTACAGTTTTTCTCAATTGCCAACACACTAAAATTATACATAAAGCACAATTATTTTGACACTCAAAGAGCAAAACATCGGCTCAAATCTCCAAAACTCTAAACACGTTTTCAGCTTTTCACACAATTTGCAAATCAACATGGCACTTTTTGCAAACCACTGCATGCGTTTCTCCATGTAAGACACAGGAATCTGACATAAAGTCACGTATTAGCTGGTTTAAAACACTGATATTCAAAATGCCTCACACATGGACCAATGATCAAGAAACACGT